GATTATTCCTTTGAGCAGAATGAAGTAGCCCTCTTTATGTCTTCTGATTAGTTTTAGTTTGAAGTCTATTTTGTCAAATATTAGAATTTCAATGTCTGTTTTTTTCTTAGTACCATTTGCTTGGTATAATTTTTTCAGTCCTTTCATCTTAAGGTAGTGTCTGTCCTTGAAAGTGAGATGAGTTTCTTGCAGACAACAAAAATATGGGTTTTGTTTCTTAATCCATTCTCCTAGTCTGTGTCTTTTGACTGGGGAGTTCAGTCCATTAATATTTAAAATTATTAATGAAAGATGGGTATTGAATCCTGTCATTTTTATTTATGTTTGCATTCTTGAAATAGCTGTATGTTTCCACAGTTACACCTTCATTGGAATTCTTTCTGCAACCCCTTAGGTATAGACATTCCTTCCTTCAGCTCTTTGTATTGCTTCCAGAACTCTCTGAAAGGCTGGTTTTGTGGACATGAATTCCTTCAGCCTATGGAAGATCTTCAGTCATGGAAGATTTTTCTTTCCCCTTCGACTATAATCGACATTTTGGCTGGGTATAGTAATCTGTGTTGGCATCTGTGGTCATTTAAAAGTGGGAATACTTTGCTCCAGGCTCTTCTTGCTTTCATAGTTTACACTGAAAAGTCAGCTATAATCCTAATGGGTTTTCCTTTATATGTGACTTGTTGTTTCTCTTGCAGCTTTGAGAATTGTCTCTTTGTTTTGTAAGTGTAGTGTTTTTACTATGATGTGCCATGGAGAGTTTCTTTTCTGGTCCTGTCTGTTTGGTGTTCTATATGCTTCTTGTATTTGTATGGGCTTGTCTTTAATTTTAGGAAATTTTCTTCCACAATTCTGTTGAAGATCTGGTCCATACCATTATCTTGGGATTCTTCCTGTATGCCTATGATTTGTGAGTTTGGTCTTTTTATGGTGTCACACAATGCCTGCATATTCCATTCTTGTGATTTCTTAAATTTTTCATAATCTTTGCTTGAGTGGTCTAGTTCGTCCACTTTATCTTCCAGTCTTCATACTCTGTTTTCCATTTCGTTCATCCTATTGGTGAGGCTTTCTCCTGTCATTTCTAATTGGCTTATGGAGTGTTTCACTTCATTCTTTATTTCAGCCCGAGTATTCTTCAATATTTCTAGCTCTTTTCTGAATTCATTCAGAAGTTTATCCCTATCTTCCTTCAGCTCTATGATTACCTTGCTTAATTAATTCAGAAGTTTATCCTTGTCTTCCTTCATTTCTTTGATTTCTTTCTGTTCTTTAAATTCACTGAATCCTTTTATCATGTTTATAACTGTTCTTTTGAATTGCATGTCCTGTGTTATCTCTAGGGGGTTCTCATTGTACTCCTCTATAGGACCATTGGTACTAGGGGGTTCTCATTGTACTCCTCTAGAGGACTATTGGTATTTGGTGGGGATATGTTATTTTGGTTTTTTTATGTTACTATTTTTTCTCTGTGATTTTGACATGCGAATTTCTTTTGTAGTTTCTGATTCTTGTGTGAGACTCGGGCCTTCAAGTTTAAGTCTGCATCTTTTTGTAAACTTTATGTGTCTTTGTGGTTTACTTTTTGGGCATGAAAAGCTGGTTCGTCTAAGCTTCTGGTTCTCTCTTTTGATTTTAAATTGGAGTGGCCGGATTGCTTTTGTCTTCAGGAGTTCCCACTGAGGCCCAATTCAGGTGAGGATCAGATGTTTTCAGGCTTTCTCAGAAGGTCTGGATCCCTCCAGGAATGATTTTGGCCTCAGGAATTTGGGAGTTAGACTGGTCTGGGAGCCTGGCCCAGGAAAAATGCTGATCCAGGGCAGCTGGTGGCCTTGCCACCCAGAGATGCAAAGGCAGATGGGGCAGGAAGAGGCCCCAAGGACTCCTGGGGACTGCACTGAGGGAGCTGGGTTGGTCTGGATGCAAACGATTAGGCAGAGGAAAGGTCAGCCCCCTTGTGCCAGAAGAAGGCTGGCAGGTGGTGCAGGCCCTGGGAAGCAGAGGGAGGTGAGGGCAGGGCCAGACCCAGAAGCAGTGCTCCTGGGGCCCAGAGAAGGCACTCTGTTGGTCTGGATGAAAAGGATCAGGAAGCAGTATTGGTTCCCCAGGTGTCTCCAAACTCAGAGGAGAGAAGGGAGGTGGAGATGGGAAGGTGATTCCAATTTCTCATTTTTAACGACTCAGTAAATAATTTTGATTTGAGTACCTAATAAGTGCAGCAGATACTCTGTGTGGCATTGAGGATATAGCTGTGATAAAGCCTCTCTATGGAGTTGGGGAGGAGTCAGGAAAGTGCAGGATGGAGAGCCAGGGTAGTGAGAGCATCAGGCCACAAAGAAGGGTGAAGATATCCCCAGTGGTGAACTCTTTGAGTCCTTCTTTGGAGGAAATCCTGGAAGGTTGGCCAGAGGACAGAGTCCATAGTTAAAATCAAGAAAGTATGCTATAGCAGTCAGATTACCTTCATGTTGAAAACGCAGTTTGGTTTTAGCAAAACATCATTCCAGTTAATTTTAGTATTTTAAAACATTTTTGTTTATTTTTATTTTATGTGTGTTTTACCTGCATGTGTGCTAGTGCACCCATGTTGCACAGTGCCTGGGGAGGCCAGAAGAGAGTGTCAGATCCTCTGGAACGAGGGTTATGGATGGTTATGCACTGCCATGTGCATGTTGGGAACCAAACCCAGGACCTTTGTAAAAATAGCCATTTTGGGGGCTGGAGAGATGGCTCAGAGGTTAAGAGCACTGACTGCTCTTGCAGAGGACCTGGGTTCGATTCCCAGCACCCACATAGTGGCTATGAACCATCCTTAACTCCAGTTCCAGGGGAATCTGAAGCCCTCTTCTGACCTCCATGGCATTGCAAGACACAGGTGCACTCACATACATGCGGGCAATACACACTCATTCACATAAAATGAAAATAATAAATAAAAAAAAAAATAGCCATCTCTCTAGCCACTCCAGGCAATTTAAAATAGGATGTGGTTTTAGAAATAAAATTTTATTTCCATTAATACTTAATTTCTGTTTTGTAGTTGTATAAGTGCTATAGGGAATAAGGATTTTTAAAACTAATTAATACATGTTTAAGAACATTGTAAGAATTACTTAACCTGATAGGAAATCACAGTATTTTCTTTTTTTCTTTTTTTTTTTTTCTTTTCTTTCTTTTTTGTTTTTTTGAGTCAAGGTCTCATTCTGCATCCCTTACTGGCCCTGGAACTAACTATGTAGACAAGACTGGTTTGGAATTCAGAAAAATCTGCCCACCTCTGCCTCCTAAGCACTGTGATCAAAGGCCACTACACCTTGCCATATCATTTCTTTAAAGCACCAGTTACTGTTGTTTCTCATATTAGAACTTAATCTGAAATTTTTGTCATTGTATTTTGATACAGGGTCGCTAGCCCTAGCTGGCCTGGAATTTGCTATGTAGACCAGGCTGGCCTGGATGAGAGCCGCCTGATTAAAGGCATGGGCTACCACACCCTGCTAGACAGATAACTTTTGTAAAACCAAAATATTTAGGGCTGGAGACAGAGGTTAAAAACACTTGGTACTCTTCCAGAGGATCAGGTTCAGTTCCCAGCAGCCATATGGCAGCTAACAATTGTTGGTAACTCCAGTTTCAGGGGATCCAACATCCTCTTCTGGCTTCCCTGCATTGCATGCATATGGTGCAACTTGCATGCAGGCAAAACACATGAACTAAAAATGAATGAGTGGATAAAAATTTTAAAAAATCAACAAAATATTTAGAAGGAGGTCTTGTTTTGCTTGAAACATCAGCTTTGACACCTAACTCAGAAGACAGTGAGATTTGCATATTCGTATCCTTCTTTCATTCCTGGTGGTAGCTATTCTAATGCTTGTGGAAGCTTCCTAATGGTAGTATATTTAGGTGCTTTAAAGTATTGCAGGAGTTACCTAATCAATGTCTTTTCAGATTGCTCAGCATTTTTATGTTTGAAATTTTGTAGTCATACAGGATAACTTTGCTACACCAGATTTGCCTTTGCTGACGTGTTTGACACAAGACCAGGAGTTTGAGCCTGATTCCTTATTTCAACAAAGTGAACTAGAATTTGCACCTTTGAGGTAGGATTATTTATTTGCCTTCTAACCTTTCTACTCTCACTAAAGTTGTTATCATAAATGGCTTCAGGCTAACATGAAATTTGGGAGTAGGAGTTCCATATTCTTAGTAAATAGCACACATATGTAACAAGGCCCTAAATGAAGCATATTAATTTGGTACAGTAATGTAAATACAGAGATGTACCAGGTGACTGTAGTTCATTTAAAAGAAGAGAGGCAGATGCAGGTGGATCTCTGTGAGTTCCAGGCCAGCCTGGTCTACATAGCAAGTTCTAGGCCAGCTGGGGCTACAAGGGGGACCCTGCCTCAAAAAGACACCCCCCCCAATTCTAATTTAGTTTAGCACCCAGGAATATTTAGTTATGAGGCACACTGGTTTTTCTTGTGAACCTTGCTTTGTGCCACTATCATCTGTCCCTCCCTCTCACCTTCATCCTACAAAAAAGCATTTGTTTCTAGGACACTAATGTATCTGCACTCTCATTTTGCTCAGCTGTTATTGAATCAGTCTAGTTAACTCTCTTTATACTACATGTAGGTAGGAAATAAACAATGTTTTTATAATAAATATTCTAAACTGATACCTTTTAGAATAATCACAGTGGGAGAAAAGTTGAATTCTTCAAAAACATATTTAGAATCGTCCAAGGCTTTGTTTTCTTTTAGAATGGAAAGAAAACTAGGTAAACTGAAAACTCTAGATGTTTAGAAATAAAATGCAGCATCTACCATTGTGCTGTACATTACTTTAGAATCACAATTACCAAGTGCCTGTACACATTAGATTGTCAGCCAGTGATTAAGTTATATTGTATTTTGGGAGTAGATTACTTCTTGTTTTCATAAGTATAATAAATGGACCATAAATAAAGGGATATAAGTTAGAAGAGTATTAAATTGTAGTGGGTGATGAGCATTTGCTACTTTTACAGAGGACCTGGGTTCAGTTCCCAGCACCCACATTATGACGCAAAACCACCTGTAATTCCAGCTTCAGGAGATCCAACGATGCTCTTAGGTCTTCTGCAGGCACTCCGCACATACAGCACACCAAAAAATGCAGAAAAAAAAACCTGTACACATTAAATAAAAAAATGAAATAGTAGACCTTATTAAAAGTCTATTTTGAATGTTTCTTTGAAATAGATTTTTGTGGGGTAATACGGAAATCCGATTCTGTGTGTTTTAGAAGGCTGAGATACTATCAGGATGATAGTTTACTGTCTAGTTGCAAAATTTTATTTATTCAGTCTTTAAGCTCCTTGCAGGAATTTAAAATTAGAACTTTTTTGTTTGGTCTCCTTGTAGCCCCAGATGGCCTAGAACTTGCCATGTAGACCACGTTGACGTCAATCCCTTTGACATCCCTTGTCTCTGCTTCCCGAGTGCTAGAATTAGAGGTGTGCATCACTATGCCCCACAGAACTTTTTAAAAAACATGCTTTCCAACAAACCTGATTTCGGTGACATAGTCAGGTTTATATTTTTGTTAGTGTTTAAAAATAAATGTTAAAGAGCTACTTATTTCTTTGTAACTCTGTATTTTCAGAGGAATTCCTGATAAGCCTGAAGACAGTGAACGGCTTTCTCGACCATCAGAAGTTAGTGAAGCTTTATTCCAGGCCGCCTTAGAAACATCTTCAGATTTAGTTAACAGTTGCCTTAGTATCTCTCAGCACCCGCTTACAGGTAGCACAACTTTTGGGTCTCAGCGTTCTCTTTTCCCTCCTGAACAAGAGAATAACGGAGAGAATGGGCTGTCTAAAGCTGCTGATGAACTGAAAACGCCAAATGACTCTGATCACTATAATGCTCTGTATTCATACATGTCATGGCAGGCAAGAAAGGATACTCAGCAGCCAGAAGACAGCTTGACTGATAAAAACCAAGTTTCTACTTCAGCTTTCTCTGATGTTAGTGATGAAAGCATAACCACTAAAAGAGATGATGGTTTTGATGCTTCTTGTTCTCAGGTTCAGTATTGGAAACAGGGAGCTTCACAACAGGCAGAAACATGTCTAGACAATAAAGACCATCGTTCTTTTCCATGTGAAATTGCTCCTCCTTGTCCCAATAAGGTGTCATATTCTTTCTTGCAATGCATGTTGGAAAGAGGTAAAGGGGCTCTCTTGACCTCTGAGAGCCATCCTGAAAATGTTTGTTTAAGGGCTCCAGCTGAGGATGAGATGAATCAAAACGTAGGTTCTTTGGAGGGCTATGAAAGAAATGAAGATCTGCAGAAAGAATTATCTCAGTATTTTAAACTAAAGGAGTCTAGAAATAATTTGTTATCTTCAGAACTGCATTCTACATCTCCAGAGATAAAGTACATCAGGACTGTTGTTCCTGATGATTGTGAGCAGGTTTCAGGAGTACACATACTCTCAAGGGGACTTGATATCTCTAAGATGGAGGCTGCTGGAGGCCCTCTTCGATCAGTTAAATCCAACTTGGATGAGACATCACAACAACTGTATTTTCAAGAGGACAGAAACCGAAAGGCAGCTTCTGTTTTTGGTGAGAAAAATGTTGATGCTACTGAAAATGTAGCCTTTGAGGCAGTTATTGCCTCAATTGAGCCTTCGAAGCAAGAGAGTCCTGTAAGTGAAGTCCAAACTGACATCAATAAATCTTTAGCAGATGAAAGTCAAGAGAGAGAACCCCCAAATCCACATATTTCCCCATTAAATTATAACAATAAAAACTCTTTCATTGATAAGCTTAAACATCCAAAGTATCAGTCCACTACCGGGGTGCTTGAACCAGCAGCTTCAAAGCCAGTGTTGCATAAAGAAGATGATGGTGCTGGCTCCCTATATTTGTATCCAAATTTAAAGTCGCCCTCTAATGCTGCTCGGAGCATGCTCAGCCAGCCATTTTCTTTTATTCCAGAGCATAAGTCATCTCCTTTAAGTGAAAAAGCTTACAACCAGGCTGTTGGTCTTGGGGAAACACAGTCACCTTTATTTCCGTATGACATATGCAGTCTTGACCTTACAGAGAAGGGAGGATCTTCAAACATTATTTATCCAATGAAAGTATCAACTTCAGATTCTTGGGTTGTACGAGATTTAAAGCAGCAGACCTTTGAAGAAGTTGCAGATTCCTCAGACTATTATTTGGGTAAGGATGTAAACTGTAGTAACCCATTGAGGGTCCCACCTGAAGCTATAGGAAGCAGCTTTTCAGCAGACTTGTTGGCATGGGATACAGACTTTCAGTGTGTTCTAACACTGACTAGTGATGCATCATTAATTTTAGTCAGCCAAGAGGTATTGCTGATAGCTGATAGAGGTCAGGGTGAACTTCCTTGGTTTGGGGTCTGAGTCCAGTGTTACTGTATATACAGTTATGCACAATGACTCCTGTTTTGTAGAGGGCCTGCAGGGGAAGGCTGGGTCTGACGTCATTACTCTGGATGGTGATACTGAGTACTCCAGCCTGCATGGAAATGCTGTTGCACACAGTAAAAGAGTCACTGAACTACAAAGACAGGTAAGACACAGCAAAGTGGTTGTTGTAAATAGGGTTTCTCGGAGCTGATTCAGGAAACGGTATTTGTATTCGTTTACTTTTTACTGTTTCCAGATATGTGGCCTGCATGGCTTAACTGGTGAGTTCTTGGAGCTCGCAGATTTAGACAATTTGCTTGATGATCTTTGTGACAGCTCCTTGTATTGGCTACCTTCTTCAAAACTGTCATCTAAGGAGAGCAATTTTGAAAAGCTTGTAAGTTATTCTATTTGCCTTTTTTTAAATTGAAAAAAAATTACTATTTATTTATGTGTATGTGTGTATTGTCTGCATGTAAATAAATACACCCTTGTCGTGCAATGCCCGTGGAGGTCAGAAGAGCCTGTCGGATCCCCTGGAACTGGAGTTATGGACAGTTGTTAGCTGCCATGTGGGTGCTGGGATTCGAACCCGGGTCTTCTGCAAGAACAACCAGTGTTCTTAACTGCTGAGCCATTCCTCCAGCCCCTCTATTTGCCATTTGTTATGGATAGACAAGGGAATATTTTCGTTGAAAAACATAGTAATGAAAGTATGTTTTTGATTTTTAGAGACAGGATTTCCCTGTAGCCCCAGCTGACCTGGAACTTGCAATGTTGACCAGGCTAGCCTTGATCTCACAGAGATCCACCTGCCTCTGCCTTCTGAGTGCTGGGATTAAAGGTGCGTGCCACCATGCCTGCCCACATTTATCTTTTGATAACAACTCTGACTTACAACTCACAGTCTTCATATGATCTACTAGTGTGCTTGACAGAAAGGTTTCTTTCATAGACTATGAGATTTCACATGTTTTGTGTATCTTAGAAAAGGACATCTTCTATAGCTTTCAGGCCTTTCATCTTGAGACATCCTAACCCTTCCATGTTGAGCCAGCAAGAATCTTTGGAACATGTTAAAAATAGAAAAACTCAGGGAGACATGCAATTGTGTTTTCCCTTCTGGTCTTAGTGTTGCCAGCCTTGAAAGATTCAACTAATTCTGTTTAGAAACTCCTGAAAATTTTGATTTTAGGAATTAAAAAAAAAAAACCTTGGGAATCATTGTCTTCCTGGGAATGATATTGCAGTGCTTAATGTTCAAACCAGTCAGTATTCTGAAGGGAGCTTAGTGCTCCTTCTCAAACGAGCAGCATAGCATGTATATACCTCTTCCCCTGTGTTCATACCATCGTATGTCTGTACCAAAATGGTGACTCTGGTGAGTTGTAAAAGTTGTTTTTTTTTGTTCTGTTCTGTTTTGTTTTACTAGGCTTCATTTGCCTGAATCTTTGAACCTCTTGGCTTTAAGTTTCCTCAGGTCCCAGTGTCCGCATTTGTTTGTGTGGTTCTCTCAGCTCCAAGCTGGGTCTCATTTACTTGAACTGTGTCTTTTGTATAGTGTTCGTCATTAAAATAGGTAGAAAGTATACATGATGTGCTTAATTTTGCTTTCTTATTTCCCCATGCATAAAACTGGTATATCATTGTGAAGCAAACCTGCAGTTTGGGTTATAGCTGCGTTTAGATCTTTAGGTTTAGATAGTTAATAGGAGAACAAGAGCAAAGATAGCGTGATGAATTTTTCCTTTTATTTATAATTTGTTGAACATACAAGAAAATTTCTAAAAACAACCATTAGATTAATTTTTTCTTCAGTATTTTAAAGTAGGCAGTATTCTGATTTTCAGTCTGATGAGAGTGGGGATAGAGATGACAGGTAGCTGATACCTTAAGAGGTTCACAGCTATTCAGAGTCCATCCTGTCAAGGCTTCACAGGGCACAGCAGTTTAGTCTGTCCTGCCATGGAGGTTTATTGGGGATGGTTTTCAGCCACATTTTACGATGAATATTTAGAGGATCATGATCATTTAACACTTAGGGAAACAATAGGTAACCTCATTTATGTTCTTTTCTAAAGTTATTTTTATTTTACGTGTATGTGTATATTGCCTATGTGTATGTAAGTGCACCCGTGTCATGCAGTGCCTGTGGAGGTCAGAAGAGGGTGTCAGATCCCCTGGAATTGGAGTTCTGGATGGTTGTTAGCTGCCATATGGCTACTGGGATTGAACCCAGGCCCTTGGCAAGAGCAGTCGGTGCTCTTAACTGCTGAGCCAGCTCTCCATCCCTGTCATTTATGTTCTTAACTACTATGCCATGAATTCCTTCTCTACCTAACTTTTTTAATCCCCTGTTCCTCCTAAGAGGTTTAGTTAGTTTTCTCTCTTGGATGAGTATCTTCTACTTTTAGTTTTTGTTTTGTTTTGTTTTGTTTTTTAAAGACAGGGTCTTCCTGTAGCCTGAAACTTGCAATGTACACCAGATTAGCCTCCATCTCATAGAGATCCTCCTGCCTCTGCATCTGGAGTGCTGGGATTAAAGTTGGGTGCCACCATACCCAGCTTCACTTCTACCTTTAGATCTTAGTATTTTACCTTAGTTAGGCCCTTATGGTATCATAATTATAAGTTTTCCTATGAGCATTATCCTCACCTCAGAGTCAACTTGCTTATCTTGAAATAACTCATATTTTCTCCCAAATCAGACTGATAATTTGGATTTCCTGCACTCTTAGCATTTCTTTAGTTTCTTAGTCATCTTTATTTTTCTTCATTGTTGATTAAAAAATGGGAATTAAGATCCTGAGGACAGAGCTTAGTGGTAGATGCATAAGGCCTTGGGTTCATTACCAACAGCCCCTCTCCCTAAGAAAAAAATGACTTAAAAATGGGAAATCATAGCATTTTCCTTCTGGTTCCTCTCATTTTATGTTAGTTTCTTGAATCTGTTGATATGTAAATACCTCTCCTCCTTTTCATTCTACATTTTCTTTGCACTTGACCATAGCCAGTCTGAGAAGCTATCTACATTTTCTTTGGTATTACCTACTCTAATAGCTCTTTATATTAGCTATAATATATAATATTATATATTATGTGATATATAGCATGTTTTTACTAAAGTTGAAATTGTAGTAGTTTT